CTAATACACACTTCTCTCTCCACTCTTTTTTCTCTCCTCACCCTTACCACTAATACCAGTAAAATTTTCTTGCTGATCGTGAAATAATGCTGTAAAGATTTTTACTCTAATGGCTGCTACAGAGAGATGGAAAACCTTCATCATCACCTGTGGTTTCTTCTGACCATAAAAACATTCAGTCTTTCTGAGAATTTAAAAAGCCACTATTGTTCCCAGTCAGCATATACAAACTCTTAATATACTGTTTATTAAACAACTCAGTGTACTATTGGATAACATTGATTCTTAACTTTGGCTTTTGAGTCATCAGGAGTCAACATAAAAATTTCCAATTTTCAGTAATTTAGTGGGAAGTTTTTGGTTTTTTTTTCAATTTTAAAGGCTTCTCAATCTCTACACTTGTATGTTACCAGTGAAAAGGATCAACAGCTAAGTTGGGGCAAGTAATAAAATAAATTTTGTATTTGTCATTAAGACAATTTATGGTAGACATGAATACACAGATTACAAAGTGAAGTCTCCATTTAACTTGTTTATATAAGACATAGGGCCACACTAAATTACTCAGTGGGATTTATATATTCAGTTCACTTGAAACAATAAACAGTAATGTATCCAAGAAGAATATGTGTCCTACCCTGTCTCCTGTGGAAAATAAATTATATGGCTGAAATGTAAAAGAAAGTAAGCATAAAAGTTAAGTAATGTATATATCAACCTGTCTTTTTTTTAAATTAGACATAAATTCCACACTGTTGAAACACAGACATCAACTAAAATTCAGATAGGTCAGATGACAATATTAAATATGGTTTCTTAGCTGTTCAAATAAATGAAATGCTTTCTTTACTCTGGTAACCTAAGTAAAGAGTAAAAAGAAGATTTCTCAAACATATCTAGAAGTTTGTAAACAACACATTTATAGCTTTTAATTTAGGAAGTGGTCTTAGAGTACATAAATTTGGTTTTCTACCTATGATTGGTATGACCAAATTTAAAGGAAAAGCTCAATGATATCCTACATATAAATATGGCTATGACATAAAATTACAGCACTTTACTAAGAAAGGGGGTATAATGATATTTAACAGAGTATTTTATGTATGACTTTTACCATATCATATAATTTTTTGCTTAATTTCTCTCCTGTGTTTACTAGGGCTATTTTCTAGTTAAAATAATCCTGCTAAATAACAGATATACCTAGTATTTATCACAACATATGAGTTGTGTTGACTCACAAAACTGAATTTCTTAGGATGGGATATCTTACTAAAAGTGAAGAGAAAAAAACTTATTTTTTTTTACTTAAAAACCATATGACAGAGGGATATTGAATGGAATGCTCCTTATTTAGTTTTGGGAATCAGACTTGTTAAATAAAATACCATGGTTTTAGAAGTCTGTACTAGGAACATTTTTTTCAAATACATTGTTTATATTTCAGATGTAATGCAGTGCATTTTTATTTGAACAATAAAAAAACAATCTTTTGAGACCACGCAGGTCTTTCCCCCCACCTTTGAAAGTATGTGGTATGTGTAATTGCAGACTACATAATGTATTTCTTTTCACTTACTCTTTTAAGAAGTAATTTAACTCTTGGAAATAACAGTTAGGTTAGTTCATACCTTAAATCTCCAAATAGTTAATATCTCAGTTACTGTGTAATCTGTTCATACCAACCATTCCATTTTCGAGATGATTTTGTTTACTAGTGCCAACAGAATCCCTATTTCATGCTTTTTCAACATATATTTCAACGTGTATCAATATATTCCCAAAAGGTGATTTTAGTATTCATGTGAAAGATGTTTTCCCTTCTGTTTCCTGTTACCAAAAGTTAAATCATTTTATTTTATTAGTAATTGAAAATTAATTTTTTGGTAAATTACTATACTTAGTCATTTTTCCTCTCAGGGAAGAAAAGGAGGTAAATAGTTTACTAACTTCCTGTCTTGTTTTTCATGAAAATATTATTCCATCTTTCTTTTGATTCAAATGACCTAAATACACATTTATTCATATTATTCACTTTATTTTTAAAACAATCCAAAGTGTTAAACAGGGAAACTCAAAATCACAAAACTTCAGATCCTCTGATTTATTCAACGTATTTTCACTTAGATGTTTTTCAGAAACACTCTTATACACACAGTTCTGGAATTACAGAACAGAACATTTGAAGAATGCCAAAACTTTCAAATATCAAATTTTAAAATCAGGATTATTTCAAAATGATTAAAATATCAAAGGAAAACCTAATTCACTGTTTTTCATCACTAATGCAGAGATTCAGTATTCCATTACTCAATATATTTTTACTGTAGATAAATGAATCTATTCAGATGTCTTTTAATATTAATGTTTGGTATACTTACATTATATTTGGTAAATTCTGGATACTCCTGAATCTCTGGCAGTATACATCCCATTGATAAATACTTCCTTAAATAAGTCACAACACTCAATTAACAGGTTTTGTGAGTTAACGTATTAATTCCAGATGACTGGAATTTAGGATGAGAGTATCATTAATGCTTTAATACTATCTACTGTGTAATACACCTTGATTGCAAAAATACCATCACTTGTATTTTGGATGAGTGAATATAGAGAAAAGTGTGACACAGCGGCTTTGACATAAATAAGAATTTATTTCTGTAACAACTGGAATATAGGACTATTAGACATGTTATAAAAGGTTTCATATTAGACTTCTACCTTTAAATGAATTCACACTTTTGAAAGGTAAACAATTTTGCATGCTCAATACTTAAGAATCAATAATAAGATGATACGAGGGGATATTAATAAGAGGAAAAGGTAATTCTACATTAGATAGCTTTGCTTTTGAAAAGTAATGCATTAAAAAAATTGGAAAAAGAAATTAAATCTGATTCCAAGGGATCACTTTAACAATTGCTTGTGAAAATATCCTTTAAAAGTTCTTTAGTCAAACATTTCAGAAGGCATATTTAGGAAATAAGAAATTAAAACGACTGTACATATATACAGTCTATGTGTATAATAGCATATATTCACATTTTGACCTCCATTCCTGTGTTCAGCACTGTAATGGATAAGAATTTCAGGAACTGAAGAAAGTAAATGAAATACAGTCTCTGTTTTTAAGGAGCTTAAGTAAAGTTTAGAAAAAAGTTAGCTGTGTGATGTAGTAATAATAAAAAAGAATAGGCCAGTCATATTGAACTTTTAAAAAATGTTTAATGTGTCCATTTGAAACGTATTACGGTTGATATGATTTCAGTTGGTTGGTTTGCCCAGTATTTGGTCATTTTGTACTGTATTCTGCAACCCAAAAGATACCAGGTGTTACAATGTTTGTTACCAGTACACAAGATACACATGAGTGCTAACACTTCACTTTTGCATTGGGTTTTATCATTGACAAATAGTTCTCCCAACATTCTCTACCAAATAGACAGCAAATTCTGATCATTCCCATTATCCAAATTTAAGAATACATGTTTATATGTATGAAATTAGCAGGTTAAATATGCATAAATTTTACTTAGATCAAAAAAACTTGTTAACAGTGGAACATTTTTAAAAGAATGTAATTTGTGACCCCAATATGTAGCAGAAAAGGTGGGCCTACACTGATTGAAGACGTCCCAGTCCCAACCCCTGATACACTCCACAGAAGGAATTTGAGGAGTAGCTTGAAAACTCTTAATTTAAATTATATGAACTGTGCATGCATGAAGATTTTTCATTTTAGGATCTTTTTTCTTTAATCAACTTTTCTCCTGGATATTAGAAAGTCAGAGTCCCTCCGCTTAAGTGCCACTGTGGAAGGGCCAACTCCTAAATGTCATCAGTTCCCTGGAAGGAGAGGAATGCAGCTGCATAGAAGTTGCTGCTTAACTCCCACAATCTTTAGGCAAGGATACTTCCACCTAAAATCAGTAGTCAGTAGCAACCGGTTGCCTTTTTTTTTAACTTGACGAATGAATAGGGAGATACGCTTTTAAAAAGGAAATTATATAGCATATATTGGGATGTGTGTGTTAACATTTAAAAATTCACATATGAATTTACCAGTCAATTTGAAGGAGGATGACGTCCAGAATCCAGAGAAAAGAGTATCTGGTACCCTTGGGTAAGTTCATAATGAAGCAAAAACAGTAGCTAAGTTTGGTGTAACCCCAACATTGGTCAGAGCTCACGTCTCAGTCAACATTTTATTCCTCACGACACAATCTGGCCTCTAGGTCTAGGAGTGAGCCTTCTCTGAGGAAACTCCTTTATGTCATTCCAGTGTGCTTGCTGTTGCCAGGAACTCACAACTAAAAACTAGTCTTATGTACATTTGGCCTATTCCTTTCAACCGGCAGACTCCTCATGTTGCTGCTCAGGCTGTTGAAAGCTCATATAGGATATATGTTATGCCCCAGAAAGGAATTCACCGCGCTGCCAGTGATAATTCCACTTAATTCAGGAGATGGTACTTGACCCTTAATATAAGAGTTTGCTGCTCTTTATAATGAAAGCTAAAACACTGAACTTGGGTCTGAAAATGACTATTAAAACGGATGAGCCAACTAAAGCTTCACACCACAGACTAAACTATGTCTAGTGCTGATTACAACGGGGTGGGCCAGAAACACATGCCTCTCTCCAAACTGGCATTTCAGCAATGTGTTGACTCCTGTATACCATAAACTATCTCAACCTCTAGCGGAAGCAATCGGGAGCACATAAAGAGCTGGGGAACTACCCTCTGATCACACACACACACACACATAAAACACATCCACAAAGCTTAACCCGTGACACGATTAGCTTAAGTGAAAAAAATGTAAAGGCATACGCAGAAGACCGGCTCTCTTAGGCGAGAACTTCCTAGAGAACGCCCCGCCCTGCTCAGGGCAACAAGCCCCGCCCCCGATTCTGAAATTCCTTTTGGCCTCTGAGGAGCTCCACGCCAGCAGCGCCAAAGTACCGTGTGTGCGCAGTAGGCCTGCTCAGTGCCGCGTGGGAAAGGCGGGACTTCGCTACCATCTGCGTCATCTCCAGCGCGACGCAAGACGTCACCGGCTTGACTAGGAAGATCAATTGTGGCTGCCGGCGCGCCCACGCCTACTTTATGCGCGGGGTCGCCGGCGCATGCGAGGAATAGTCTCGGCTGCGCGATACTACTCCGTCGGGAGGTCCGCGTGTCCAGCTCCTTGGTGGTGGCAGACATGCTGTGCCGGCTCAGCCTTCGGTGGCTACGGCCGCTGCCTGCCCTGCGGCTCGGGGCCCTGGGCCCGCAGCTCGCGCCCGTCCTAACGGGCGGCATGAGGCGCTCTGCTCTGCCAGTGTGGGCAGCCTCGTCAGTCTCTGCAGTTGCCCCGGGTGGCGCGGGAGGCTGGTACGAGGCCCTGGCTACGTCGGCTCCGGTACAGGGCGCGGAGGAGCTGCTGCTCTGCGCGCACACCGCCACGGGCCTGCCCTGGTGGGGCAGCATTCTCCTCACCACCGTGGCCCTGCGCGGCGCCGTCACGCTGCCCCTGGCCGCCTACCAGCACTACATCCTGGCCAAGGTGAGGCTTAAGATCCCCAGATAGCTTCCGGAGTGCTGCGTGTTAATCAGCACCAATACGGCAGTGAGCTACTTTACAAAAGAATTAACATAGGACAGGAAATAAATGCAAATTTTGTGTGGTTGCCACAGAGCGTGTTAAATACTATTAATTGACTTCTGTTTCTTGGTTTACATTACTGGGAAATCCAGGGATTGAAACATTAAAGTGCAGAATGCAGTTCTCATTTATTCCTTAAAATAACCCTATGAAGTAGGTGCTGTTATACATTATGTATGTAAGGGGACAGGACTTTAGAAGTTAAATAATTTGCCCAAGATCACACAGCTAAGTGTACACGCTGGAATTTGAATCTGGTTACAGCTGAGGATATCTTAAATTAGTGTCATATACTCAGACTTAAGGTTTCTTGACATGACCAGTGAACCACATTTTTAAATGAGCTTGAGGAACTAGAAAGTAAAATCATAAATGGTTATGAATAAAGGTCTTTTGTGTGCCCATAACAAAGTGTATTTTTTCTTTAGCTAGGTGGAAAATTTGCAGCCAGAAATAAAAAACATTGCAAGGCATCTTAACCAAGAAGTTGCAGTTCGCGCAAATCAGTTGGGGTGGTCCAAAAGAGTTGCCAGGTAAGCTAATTTTATGCATATAAAACCATGAATATATGTATGTATGTGTGTATATATATAGACACAAAATGTATACATGATATTTATTACAGATTTGTGTATTCTGTAGCTTTAGCAGCAAAGTAGTTCTTTCTAATAAGTTTATGTGGCATGATAGTTTTATATACTGGACTGAAAGGAAAGAAATGGAGAAACAAAGATAAGAAGAGAAAGTTCCTTGTTCTTAAGGGACTCCAGGCTATTGAAAAAGACAGCCATGTAATCAAATAATGACTGAATTAAGTACTGTACAAAAGATTTATGTACAGAGTCGGGCCATCATGGAAAGTCAGGGATGAAGATACTGTGCCAGTCTGTTGAGATTTTAATCAATAATGTTACAGGTTATTTGCAAACTTGACCTTTTTGACAAGATTCAGCGGACTATAGCCCACAGGAATGGGGAGGTAGAAAATATGAATGCCATAGTAAAAGCGACTGGATAGACAAGGTATTGTCAATCTGCTGTGGTTACTCTGTGTAGCTATCTGCCTTTTCTCTTAGAAAGCCCTTGCCCAAAGGGGCTTAACCATGCTTCAGTTCTATGCCTACAGTCATCCACTAGGAACTTCAAAGCCCCCCTGCTTCAGTCAGCCTAAGCTATTACTGCTTAGTTAGTTTTCTAAATCCTGATCCTTACTAGAGTGTGACAAAGTGTTAACCAGTTAACAGCAATGAGAAAAATAAGGGCTTTTTAAATATGATTACTAAATTATCCATATATTTTATCTCTATATGGTGTAAATTTGCCAACTATCTTCAGTATGAAATTATGTCCCTCCTTATATAGTGTTAAAAAGACCTGATATTTTAGAAAATATATTCTTATAGCTTAATGTCTTTACTTGATAAAAGAAAAAGTTGGTAAACCTATAGTTTTAAAGGTTTACTGAGCAGGGAAATCCGAGGACTACAGCTTTAGCCCAAAAGAGCAGATTAGTAGCTGCTCACGTGGGTTATAAATGCAGCCTCGACAAGACTGTGGCACCTTGCTTATGCAGCACTGGCAGGATGATTGTCCAGACACATCCTTACACAGCAGAGTGGCTTTCTAATGCAGGAAACCTTTCTGAGGGTTTCCTGCATTTTCAATGGAATTGGGTTTTGAAGGCTATTTGTAAATGTCAGGTGACATTTGTCAGGTCAGGAAAGTGGGCTATCCACACAGATGATATAATAACTTCCAAAGGCATGCTGGTGTGGAAGTCTGATTTGTTGGATGACCCAGATCATTCAGGGACTAGAATATATAGATGTCTACAGAAAGTAACAGGAGATAAAGTTGCAAGAGTAGGCAAAGGCTAAATTTCAAAGAGCCTAGAATGTCTCTATGTACTGTCTTAATTCAGTAGATTATAATTTGATTAAATTCAGCAAACCTATTGAACGTCTACCTTGTATAAAACATGCTACAAGTGATTTAAAGATTAAGACCCGATACTTGACCTTTGAGGAGACTATGGTCCAGAAAGTGGAACTTAAGACAAGAACTGGAATAACTAATATGGTAAACAGAGAAATAGTAAGAAAATCTTTATGAAAGAGTTGACTGAAGAATGGAGACCATTTTGACAGGCCAAGAGCATACACAGTACAAAACCACATTGCTACCTAAGATATGTTCAGGAGTTAAGTGATTGAGCTTGGCTGGAGCGGAGGTATTTGAGTAAAATGTGCTTTTCACCTTTAGGATTTCTGATTGAAGTTGTGGTCATACTATGTCAGTAGTGAAATTTCCCTGGTTAAAGCCTGATTTGCCAAGGACCACCAGAAACACAGCCTGTAGTTTGACAGTGTCAGATTTATTGAATCATTCTGTGATTTGTGTAAATTGTGAAAGAACTTGGAGTAAAGGAGTTTATTTGCGTTTTGTTTAGGCAGTCCCTTCATACACCCAAAATCCTCCATAAATCCCTTAGCCAGTAACCAGAGCGTGTGTGTGTTTGCGCTGTGGGGATGAAGCACTGCTAGTAGTCAAACGATGTTTTCTCCTTTTTCTTTTTCCCTCTTCCCTCAATCTAGGCTTACTTATCTAAAGATTCTGCGGAGGCTTGTTTCAGAGCTGTATATTCGGGATAACTGCCACCCTTTCAAAGCCACTGTATTGGTCTGGATCCAGATTCCAATGTGGATCTTCATGTCTGTTGCTCTCCGGAATTTTAGCACAGGGGCAACACATTCAGAAGGTAGTTATTGAAATCTGTTTCCCCAAATAAGTTCTTTGTACTCTAAGTACATTGTCTTTGTACATATGTACACTGTACATATAAGTGCAATTTGTATATAAGTACATTGTCTTTGTACTCTAAAGAGAAGAACAAAAAACCAAGCAAAAAAATTAAAAACACCTATACTTCTGATAATCAGAATATATTCTTTATTATCTCCCTTACAAGGATATGGAATTTAAAACATTAAGTGTAAGCAAACTAGCTGTGTTGAGAAAACAGATGAAATCTAGGAAGGACATCACTAGTGTGACTTCTTGGAGATCATAATAGAATTAGTGTTGTAATTCCATAATTCAGTTTCCTGGCCAAGAATTTTTTCTAAGTTTAAGAGACCAGAAAATATTTCACAGTTGTAAATGTAAACTTTAATTAACAAAGGTTATAAACTAAAGTGTTTGTTTTTTTACTTTCATTTAAAGGCATTGCTAACCAGAAAGTAATCAGTAGATTTGAAAGAAAGCAGCCTATGGACAAATAATTTTTTAAATTTAAGTCTGAAAAGATTACTGCTTCATATCTCTATTGTCTGTAAATCTCTTGCCTCTTTCTCTGAACAGGAAAGACTAATTTATGTTATAGAATGAAAATAACCTGAATAAAAAATGCAAGTCTTTAGAATGAGGGACACCTTCTTAGAATTATTTTCCTCTGCTATTTTTAGAAATTCCTTTGTTTTATGTATAAAAATGTTTCAGCAGGTTTTTCTGTTCAGGAGCAGTTAGCTACTGGTGGGGTCCTGTGGTTTCCTGACCTCACTGCCCTGGATTCCACTTGGATTCTGCCTGTCTCCGTGGGTGTCATCAATTTATTAATAGTGGAGGTCAGTGCTTTTAAATGAGATTTGCTTGCCATTTAAGTCATTGGGATTTTTGTTGTTGCTGTTCTGAATTCAAACGAATTTGAGCTGGTGGTGATAGCTCTGGGCTAGAATTGAGATTCCTTGGTTTTGGTCACAGATCAGCTATTGATGATAAACTGTGTCTCAGGCCGGTTCCTTAACCTCTCTGTATTATTCTCTTGTAATTAAAATAGGAGAGCTGAATTAGAGGCACTTCCAAAATCTCTTTCAGCTTTAAAATTAAATGATTCTAATGCATACGTTTTTGTGATTTGCTTTTTAGTAAAGACAGCAATTAAGATGCCTAATCAACCTGATCAGTCTGGTTTTATTTCCACAAGATATTGGTGTTTCGTGTATGTGTTTAATACGTCGATTTGTATTAGTTAGTACCTGACTGCCCTTAGTTATATGACCTTAGAAGAGTCATAGAACTTCTTCATAAGATGGAGTGGAGAAACATACGTATAAGATATGACATCCCAAGGGGGAGGGCATAGCTCATTGGTAGAGTGCATGCTTAGCATGCATGAGGTCCTGAGTTCAATCACCAGTTCCTCCATTAAAAATAAATAAATAAACCTAATTACTTTCCCCAAAATTAAAAAAATAAATAAATAATAATTAAAAAAAAGAAAAATATGACATCCCAGCCATGTCTTAACCATTATCCTGTGCTGCTTTACTCAGCAGTTTAGGGAAAGCGTGCCTTTAATCCCATAAAGAACTGTTCTCAGACTCTGAGTAGAATATAGACTCTGAACTAGAAGAAATCTTAGAAAAGATCTATCTCAGTTGAGCTTTCACAGACCTCATATCTACTGATCTCTCTTTGGGAAATCTAATACACTTATTTCTTTCAGGCGAGGAAAATGAAGATGATACTCTTAAGGCCTTGGGTAAAGTTTTTTATGTGTAGCCTAGGCGTGTTACCCTAAGAGCACCAGCACAGTACTGTGAACGTGGTTGGTACTTAGTGATTATTTCTTAGAAAGAAGGAAGTGGTAACAGGTCACAGTGAATTAATGTCAATCCTCTAGTCTTTATTCCATCTAACAACCCAGCTTAGATAAGTTTAATAAAAATCTATTCTTACTTAGCATTCACCATGTGCCAGGCACAGCTGTACAGAATTTATTTGAATTAACTCATTTAATTCTTACAGTAATGCTGTAATGTAGGTACTTTTATTACCCCCACTTTAAAGTGGTGAAGGTGAGGAGCAGAAAGTTTAAGTAACTTGCACAAAAACACATAACCACTAAATGCAGGGCTGCCTCATGAAACGAGATAGTTTGGGTTTACAGTCTGTGTTCATAATCATTGAGTTATGCTGCCTTGTAAATAAGTAATTTACCTCGCAAATTAAGTAAACCATAACTGCTTTTCCTAGCCTTGGTCCTTTCCAAAGTCTGTGTAGCCAGATCACAAACCTTTGAGATGGCTGTTAAGTTCCTTCTTTATGCCAGGCCCTGTATTTAGGTGCTAAAAGCCAAGGTTTATGATTCATACATAATACTTATCTCAAAGAGACTTAAGGTTTACTGAGAATCTTTCAAAAACATTGACTTATAAAAATTATGCTGTGATTCTTTTTAATATAGTTCAGTCTCTTTATTGCTATTAATTAAAGCTCCATTTAAGAATTCTACATGATTAAGTTTTTAAATAGATTATCAACCAATAAATTTATCAGTTTTGTTTTTAATTATTTTTTGCTTTTATTAAAGTATAGGTAGAGGGCAGTCAAAAATCCATTTGTATTTTAAAGCATGTCTAATTTAATGTGCATTTTAATAATCATGTGTATATATTCTACCCCTTCAGATGTTTGCTCTGCAAAAAATTGGAATGTCTCGTTTTCAGACATATATTACATACTTTGTTCGGGCGGTATCAGTGTTGATGATTCCAATTGCAGCCACAGTACCTTCAGTGAGTAAGCACCAGCATTGTGTGAAGCATGTGCTAAATATAAATCTTCTCTGACTGTATTCTGCCTCTTCTATTGAGCTTCCTCTGACCACTCAACCCCTTACTGGTTTCTGCTGTCCCTATCACCAAGTGATGTCTGAATATTTCTTGGGATTGGTTAAACTTTCTTTATATGACTATGTCTTAACTCTTCTAAATCAAACTCCTTTTTTCCATTTTTCTTTTTTTTTTTTCAGTCTTGCAAAATACCTTGCACAGTACTATGAACATAGTATTTCTCTGTTTGATTAATTGATATATTGAGTTCTTTCTGTCTTCATAGTCTGGACCAAGGAAGTTAGCACTTAGAAAAGAAACAAAACTTTGTGCTAGGTCCATATGGTTTCATATGTAATATTATTTAAGCTCATAACAACTTTATGAAGCAGGTATACTTGTCTCCATTTGTACGTAATTAAGCTTTTATAGAAATAGAAAAAGAAATGTTACGTTTGCAGTTATTTTGTATGTTTAGCCCTTTACTTATTTTCCGTGGATACTTCAGTACTGAGATGGCTAAAGCTGTATCAGGTGTATCTGTCTTTGCTCAGAGCCAACACATAGACCATAAAGTAGTCGTCATTTATTGCTGGTAGTTAGAGTTACATCAGCTTGTGTGAAAGTACTTCATATGACTTGTCTCAGGAATCTGAAATAGTGTGTTTTCAGCCTCACAAATGTCAATTAAATGTTAAATGTTTTTAAGCTATCACTTAGACATAATACTGTCATTAATCTTGTGTAAAATAAATAAGTTTTCTCATTTCTAAAATAAACACCATAATGTCTGAGAATTAGTGGAATAATAAGTGCCTATTATAGTACTTTTCACGTAATAATAATGTTGTTGTAAAATACTCTGGTTAAAGCAGAGCAATACAAATTTACTATATTTCTAAGAGAAATAATACCAGTTACCATTGAGAAAACCTCCAGATCAAATATAATAGGAGCAGTCACGTTTTAATGAGAGATTGAGTTCAAAGTGAGTAACAAGAGATCAAAAAAAACAGTGTCTTCAATACCCAAAAGTTCGTTCTTTCAAATATAGGAAATTCAGAATTAGACAGTTTAGTGTAGAGCTGATGTGACATCCCTGTGAAGACAGGAGAGACACAGCCTGCTTCTCTCTTAATGTTGCATAATCCACAGCCTGTAATTTCTGCCTTGAAGGCCACAGAGTAGTCATGATTGCTGTTGAAGCTTGTTATCTTGTAAGAATAGTAAAACGGTGCTTCAAGTATAGTCAGCCCCTCTCAGGACCCTTGCCAGATGTCCCTCCAAACACTTGTGCTTACATCTTAAATATGTAACCATACCTAACTGCAAAAGAAGCTGAAAAGTACAGCTTTTTTTTTTTCCCAGGTGACAGTATATCCTGCTGAAAATTAGAGTTTTATTACTAAGGAAGAAGAATGATGTTTTGTAGGCAGTTTGTAGTCTGATGTCGCTGGGCTCAGTACTGCCCACTTTGTGAATAAGATGATGATGATAGCTAATATTTATTCAGCATTAACATTGTGCCAGGCAGTGTTTTAAATCATTTACATATATTAGTGCATATATTTCTCCCAGCAATGTACTGAAGTAGGTGATATTATAATCTCCACTTTAGTGATGAGGGAACCAAGGCATAGAGAGGTTGAGTAGCTCATCCAGGGTCACTGATCTGTTAAGTGGAAGAGTCTTAACACACATCCAGGCAGTTTGACACTTGCTCTTAACTATTATGCTAATCTGCTTTTGAATATGCTTTGCTTTCTGCCCTGAAAAACCTGTTCTCGAACAAATTCAAGTGCTTAATATGGGCCGCATACCATGCCTACTGCTATACGTGAATTTTCTCTTTTATTCCTCACGGCATCCCTTTGAAGTAAGTACCATATTAGGTACTTTCTTACATGCATGGACTACTCTATTACATGTATCTCAAGTCCATTTTTTAAAAAATCACACTTTAACTCATCATCAATGTATACTCCATTAGGATAATATTTATTAACTAGGAATTACCAGAAGGCCTTCAGCGAGGGTCATTAAAGTCCTCCATGATGTGAGTTTCAGGACTTTTTTTTTGTGTCCCCATTTTATAGAAGATGAAACTGAAACAAGAAAAATAACTTTCCCAAAGTTAAATAAATAGATTTCAAACTCAGGCAGTTTGACTCTAGAACCCGGACTCAACCACCACTTGGTCTTTCCTGTGGGGCCTGATTACCTTTATTTCTTTATTTTTTTTCCTCTATTAAAATCAGTTTTACTCCATTAAAAAAAATTGTGATCAAATAATATAACCAAGGAAAAGAGCCCAGCTTCAAGTCTGCAGTGTAAAATCAAGGGGAAATGATCACATTTCTTTTTAATTGTCACATTTAGGACCTTTAAAGAGTTCACTGGTTTCCAGGGAGCACCAGTATGCTGTTTGTGCCAAAAATTTCATGAGCTGTCCTCAAACATCAAGTTCTGAGTTTGAGCAGCTGTTCAATTGTATGTGATACTGGTTCTCCAACAGACTGATTACCTTCTGATGCCAAAGAAAAGTTTGGGAAAGATGTATGAATGGGAATGTTTTAAGAGGCTGCAGGACTTGGTCTTTGACCTAAATAAATCAGTCTGGTAATTAAAAAGAAGACCGAAGATAATGCTGAGACTGTTTGTCTCAGGAAAAGGCAAAGGTAATGAATGCATTCCTGACTACACTAAAAAACTGGTTACTGGGAAAATTTGCAAGATACATGACTGTATGAGGGAAAATGAGGTCTAGGGAGGCTAGGTTTGCCATCATAAATGGCCGTGCCCCCTGTAGCCTCCCTGCAATATAGCAGCTTGTCAGAACTCTTGGTGAAGAAGAAGTATACTTAATTGTCAAAGAAGAGAGGTGAGATCTCTGTTGAGCCTCTGCCTGGGAGCTCTTCTCCATTATTCATTTCTGTCATGAATACTCTCATTTGGTTTCTTTTGGTTTTTGGTCTTCCTTTCAACTTTCTTACCTATCTGTTAGATCTGTCACAGGTATCTAGTAGCCACTGAAGGTCTTGTTCTGTCCTGGTGTACTTTTGTTTACAGAGATTGCAATTTTCTTTTTTATTGCCTACCTGTCTCTAGACTTGATGTCCTTGGAGAATGGAGAGATGCTAACATTCATGTCCTTTCTTCTCTCCACAGTCGATTGCTCTGTACTGGTTATGCTCCAGCTTCATGGGCCTTTCACAGAACTTGCTGCTGCGTTCCCCTCGATTTCGCCAACTTTGCCGAATACCGTTAACCAAGTCAGATTCACACACTCCTTATAAGGACCTCTTTGCTGCCTTTTATGCCAAGTTCAGTTCAAGAAAATGACATACTTTCTAGTAATTTTGGAACAATGACAGTGTATTCATTCTTAATGTATTTAGAACATCGAGAAATTCAGATATGATTTAATTTGCTTTTGTTTAAAATCATGAGCCCTGTGGAGTACTGTGGATTAAGATATATTTGGACACTTAAAATCTTTTAAGTGCTAAAAATGTATGTTTAATTATATACTAAGAATATAAGAGGGGAATCAAAGTGTTGGGCCCTGTTTATAAAATTACAACTTATTAGAGGCGCCAGAACCTTAGAGAACAAGACTAGAAAAGTTTTATAAAATAAGAGCATCCAATGAGGTGATTCTTAAAATTTTGGAGGTGTGGAAGATCATATACCTGCTTGAGTATTTGATAAAGCCATGGTTTTCTCTTCAGAAAAGTCCTGGAACTCGCATCATGGAGTTTACTGACCCCCTGAAGGCCTTCTGGTAATTCCTAGTTAATAAATACTATCTTAATGGAACATACGTTGATGATGAGTTAATGTGTGATTTTTTAAAAAATGGACTTGAGAAACATGCAATAGAGTAGTCCATGCGTGTAAGAAAGTAGTATGGTAGGTTGTATTGCTTCCCAACCCTGCTCTGAAAGAATGCAAAAAGTGTTCATTCCTTTTTCTATAACTTAAGAAGTCTGGAATAAAGATAGCACTAAGTATTGCTGGAGCCCAAAGTAGAAAATCTTAAGCTAATCATATGGAACATGAAGGAGCCAGGTCTCCCTGATAACCCTTTAAGAAAGTGAAAAGCTGGTGCTAGGGTTAGGGTAATGCTAACTGGAAGACTCTTTCAAACCTGTACACCTTGGTATGATAATACAAAATCTTAAGTTGGTCTGAGGATCTTATATATTACAAAATTCATAAGTTCATAGCTTGGTAAAGGGAGCAAAATACATTTTAAAAGCTTGAAAGATCAGGATAGTACTTAAAACAAGTTTTAAAAATAATTGCTAAATATATGAAAGTACATTAGTTTCACTATTACCAGAAATTAAATGTAGGTGGAGAATCAGTCAGCTTATTCAGTTACAGAGCGTGCATATGAACCTTGTGCTTATACTGTGTATTCAGTCATTGGAGAATGTAGTAGATCACTTAAACGTGAAGTAAGATTGTTGTGCAGAATTCTGGAGACAGAACTATTTGAGTCTTTTTCATCATCTCTAAGTACAGTAGACCCTTCTCTCTCCTAGCCCCGGAAGGCCACAGCCTTTAAGAGCTTCGAGCTGTCAGCTGCTGGAATCCCAACAAACAACTGAACCAAACTTCATTAGGTAAGGACTAACACAGCTACAGAGAGGGAGCAGTTAATTCCATGGCTCTTGAAAGTACTACCTTGACTGCAGTCATTTGTGGAATACAGTCTAAAAGCAAAAAGGACTATTAGAAATCTTAGAACTTTATTTAGTAATTGTATTGCTGCTCTGTTACTCTTACTGTGAAGTAAAATGTATAGTGATGTTTACTGGTATGTTAGTTTTCCGTGGTTGCTGTAATAAATTCTTCATGCTGCTTATGCACCAAGAGGAAGATACTACTGAGTAAATTAGTTGGAGATATTATGAGATATATCTCTTTCAAATTTTTCCTTTAAAGCATAGATTTAGGGGTTGCCCCTGAGAAAAAAATTGGTCCCAAAGAAGAGGGTCTTCCCCACAATTCTCTACCCCTACATCAGAAAGCCTACCCTCCATGCCTGTTTCACCTAAGACCTTCCACAATCTTGATTAAGAATTGATGAAAGTAAATTCATATTTATGACAAGATGAGGAAGATTTAAACATACAAGTTGTCTTTGCTCCTTTGGGCCTCACCTCCTTAGGAGATAACATTCCTTAATCTCATCAAGGAACACAACTCTTTAGCAGGTAACCTTCCTTCTTAATCTTGTGAAGGGACAGGATGACCCATGACTCACTTTGTACCTATATGTCTGAATTGTGTAAACTATCAGTAATAAGTCATTTGACATAACCCTTTGTCTCAAAAACATGTAACTGCTTTGACCTCTAATGGCAGGATAGTACTCAAGAGCTTTCGGAAAGACTGTCTCCCAGATTATAATTATCAGGTTGACTTGAGTAAAATTTTTTATTTTTCTCTTAGATAGACCATTGATTAATTTTTTGTCAACAGAGCTGTATACAAAAACATTTTGATCCTGGTTGATTCCCATGCATAGAAATGACAAGGCCTGCAGGTATCACAAGAAAAGGAAAAACAACAACAACAACAAAAAACCAAGAAAGCACTTTCACACAGAAACCTCGCCTAGTTCTTAGAACAGGAACTTTTTGCTTTGCTGTAACTTGAACCTGAGGGAGATGCCGACATAACTGTCCCAAAGGAATAGGTAACAAGCCCTGTTACCTTGTATTCTATCACCGACTGTCTTCTTGACTGCCAAGTTTTTAGGTAAATTTTCTAAGATAGCCTTACCTTTAATTGCCTAGGCCTGTGCTGCTGATTTTGTTCTATAAAATACTTTCGGGTGTTTGGGAACAAAAGCATGGTTGAAAAGTCCTTAAAGTGCTTTAAGAAAGCAGCCACTCCTATTCATTTATTCTATCTAAGCAACAAAACAGAAAATGCTATCCTTGAAGGTCTCTGCTAGACTCCAGAGGGCCAAGAATTTCATGAAAAAAGAAGCCTCTAGGGAAAATGCCTAATTTCTGTCTTTTCCATTTTGAGAAAATTTCACGAGGAATGCTTCCCTTCCTTTGGATCCCTGATAAGCCAGTTATATTTATTTGTCCTTCGTTGATAAAGCAGCATTATATTTAATTTAGCTTTGTTTTTTTTAAATTGTAGCTCTCCAGGGAAACTTAAAACTGAAATATGAAACATATCTAACTGTATCCATTTCATTGCAGCTGCATTTCTGTGTGTTCCAAGGGTAGTACAACTAATAATTTGAGGACTTTCTTCTAATTATAACCTCAAGCTTCCTGTATCCTCTGTGAGTGGTGGATGCTTCTGAGGGTAAGGAGTATTAAAAATATGAATTCTATATTTATGAGAGGTTAACAGCTTATTCCATACTATTCAAAATGTATCTTGTCTTTTTGTGAAGTTTTATTACAGAATCTTCGGTTTTGCTTATATAAGTTTTCAAATACAAATGTTTCATTTTGGGATCCAAAGAAAAACTGCAAGTTTACATTCAAAATTACTGTTACAACCAAGTAGAGATTTTGAAATGAGATATCTTCTCCCTCATCTTTAACTCGCACCTATGTATGTGATAAGGTCTTATTTCACTTTAAAATACAGCTGGTCCTCATTATGCGTAGTTTAATATTTATGAAGTCACCTACTCACTAAAATTTATTTGTAAGATGCTCACAATGCTTTTGCAGTTATTAGCAGACTTGTGCCTTCAAACTCAGAGCAGAAAAAAGTTTGAGCCCACCCAGCGCACACATTCCCAGCAGGGATCAAACAAAGTGACGCTGCCTTTTTGTTTCAGCTCTCGTACTGTAAAGACGCTGTGTTTACGTGTCCTTCTTGTGGTCTGTTTAGTGCCATGTTTTTCTCATTTTTATAGTTTTTTAAGATGGCCTCTGAGCACTAAGTGAAAGAAGGCTGTGATGTCCTCACAGAGGAAGTATGTGTGTGAGGTTAGCTGCATTCAGGTGTGAACTACAGTGCTGTTGGCCAGGGGTTCAATGTTAATGAATCAAAATACATACTAAATAAGATGTCTTTAAACACAAACATATAGGACGTGGTTATATCTCTCTCTTTTTTTTTTTCCAATAATTAAACTGTATTATGTCTGCCTCTTTTTTTTTTTAATTTTTTTTTGGTTGTTTTTGAGGGGGCAGTAATTAGGTTTTTATTTACTTTCAATGGAGGTTTTGGGGATTGAACCCAGGACCTCATGCATGCTAAGCATGCACTCTACCACTGAGCTACACCCTCCCCACCGACATGGTTACATCTTGATTGGTTACTGATATTGGTATTGTGACCAAAGGCTTGTAGGAACCTAACTCTGAATTTCCTCTAGGAGTGATGGGTTGGTGTTCCCAGTGGCTTTATAGAGCAAACCTACCATGAATAATGAAAACCAATGTGCTTCAGCCTGTGCCACACGGGTTTTTATGCATATGATGGTTTAAATCTGGGTCCTCAATTTGAGCCACAGATACAGTTCACTTGCCCTTTTTTGTACAGCTTGAAAGCCAAGGATAGTTTTTACCTTCTTAAATGATTGGAAAAAATAAAAAGTATAACATATCAATTATATGAAGTTCGCATTTCAGCAATTATCACATATCAATTATATGAAGTTCATATTTCAGCATCCATAAATAACAGTTTATTGGAACACAGCCATGTTTGTTTACATCTTGTGTATGACATTCATGCTTCAACTGCAGAGCTGCGTGGTTGTGACAGAGCTCTTCTGTTAAAGTGCTCACACTGCTCAGCACAATACAGATCTCAGTGGTGCAGTTATAACTTGATAGTGTTTCAAGTGCCATGTGTACTGTCCTTTGGCCACATTCTATTTATTTTTTATTACTAGTTCATATCCAGTCAAAATAAGAAAAGTGAATTTCAGGTGTCATGCTTTTAAGGCACAGTAAAGCATGGGTTTTGTTACTGAATTAGATGGCAAAACATTGTATATATTATGCAATGGCATTATCACTACGCTAAAAGAATACAACATACGTCGGCATTACCAGATATCACAGTATTCCCAAGTCACAGGAAAGCAATGGTCAGAAAAATTAGAAAATTTAAAGTGAGGTGGGGAGGATACAGCTCAAGTGGCAGAGTGCATGCTTAGCATGCATGAGGTTCTGGGTTCAATCCCCAGTACCTCCTCTAAAAATAAATAAATGAATAAACCTAATTACCTCCCCCCTCAAAAAAAAAAGGCAATTAAAAAAAAAGAAAGTTTAAAGTGGAATATCTCATCACAGCAAAATGGGTTTGAAAAAAGAAAAATGACAGCTGAAGAAAAATTCTGTTTCCTCTCTACACTATCCACAGAATCCTACTGGCTACCAAATGTGTGTGTGTTTTTCCCCATACCAAGCAGTTCTCCAATTTTCTGTGGGCACCAAACTAGTGTGTCCTACAATTCAGTTCAGTTCTGACACTACCTGAGGTTACCTGAAAACTGGATTTGCCCCTTGGTGAGTGTCCAGACAAAAGACATATGCCAAAGATCAGGAGAAGGAAGGATTTATTACTGGCAGCAAGTAAAGAGGACACTGGAGATTTTCCAAAGCAATGTCTCCCTGAACTGCAAAATTGGGAAATTTTAAGCTGGGGTTACGTGCATATTCACACAGGGCTTGGGCAAAGGAGAATTCAGCATAGAATTGGGGCAAATGTTGGTAGAGTCTAAGCTTTAGTTGATTGAAGTCACAAGGGTCAGAAAAGGTCGACATCATTATTTCTTAGGTTCTGATGTATTTGTGGTCTCAGCATAGTTCCCATCCTCCACCTGGATGGGGGCCTTAGTTCCTGCAGAACTCAGAGATACGTGTCATATTGTTAATGTATATCCCTTGAAGAGGAACTAGGACTCAGTTTTATTGCTGAACTTTTGTTTCTTGACTGCTTTTTCCTTTGTTCCTGCATTCTCTCCCTTCCATTAAAATCATTAATGAGACCTGTTCAAGAGCAAGCATTGTAGCCTGGCTTAGATCACAAAATGGCTTAGGCCAAAAATGGCTTTTCTTATGTTAAGAAAGTGATGCCTGGTTCACCCCCTACCCTGTCTGCTCACAGAGTCAGTGCAGATCACACAGGACTTAGCCTCACAAGACTGCCCTTTCCCTCCACTTCAGATACCAGTCTCATGTATTAACCCACAACTTCTGCTCTACTTGGTTGCTAATGGAGGGTTCCCATAGCTCCGTCCTTAAGTTCAATAATTTGCTAGAACAGCTCACAAAACTCAAAAGCATTTTACTATTATCCATTTATTATAAAAGATGCAACTCAGCCAAACAGAAGGAATGCATGGGTCAGGGGTAGGGTGGGCAGGGTACACAGAGCTCTCATACTGTTTGGGGGCTTCCTTATGTAGGCACAACTGATGACATCACTGGTTGTTGGTGATTGAATTCAGTCTTCAGCCCCTCTCCCCTCCTGAGAGGTCAAGGGGTGGGACTGAAAGTTTCAACCCTCTAATCTTGTGGTTGGTTCCCCTGGTATCCAGCCTCCATCCTGTGATTATCCAGGAGGGGCTTTCAGGTGTGGTTGAAAGGGCCTTGTTATGAATAACAGAATTCATGCAGCTCCTTTAGGAACTGTTTCAGGAGCACAAAACACCAAATAGTATAAGAAAAATCCATCCATTGCTCTTTTAGGAAATTACAAGTATTTTAGGAGCAATGGATGGAGACCAAATACATATTTCTTATTACATTACAGTGTCACGAGGTTTTATTTGTTGAAATTAGTAACTTTAATCACCACAGTAAATATTTGAAATGGGTTCTCATTGGTCAAATTAGCACTTGGGTTAGTTGGGGTAGTTTAGAGACATGCCTACATTTGAATGAGTAAGAGAGAAGAATCGGATGAGTTCTGTAGC